TCGACCTATGAACCAGGAGTTCATGGTCAATTTCCAGGGGGGGGACATGGCCAGGTTTCGGTCTTGATCCCCAGTGGGGGGTGTGCAGGAGGCAGCCAATCAATGATTCTCTCTCATCATTGATATTTTGATCTCTCTCTCCCTCTCCCTGACTCTCTGAAATATATATATATATAAAATAAATATCCAAATGGCCCTTGGCAGAAAAACGGTTCCCCACCCCTGTCCTAGAGGATCACCCTGCATCCCCTCATATGGCTCTTCCTATGCTCACCTTGCTGAAGGAGAAGACTGGAATGGCAGGCTCCATCCATTTAGGAACCTGAGGATAATCTCGTACATTGATCACCATCTCCATGTCAGGAAGGTGCCCGATAACTTCCAAAATAAAGTGTTCCACACCACTGCATCTGTCAAACAGAAATACCATAGATCAGGGGTTCTCAAACTACGGTCCGCGGGCCACATGCAAATACAAATATTGTATTTGTTCCCATTTTGTTTTTTTACTTCAAAATAAGATATGTGCAGTGTGCATAGGAATTTGTTCATAGTTTTGTTTTTTTTAAACTATAGTCCGGCCCTCCAATGGTCTGAGGGACAGTGAACTGGCCCCCTGTTTAAAAAGTTTGAGGACCCCTGCCATAGATTCACTAGAGCAGTGCCTGCTCTAGGACAAGGCAGTGTCCCAGGCACACTTTATTTTATTTTATTTTTTAAATATAGTTTATTAGCATGACATTCTCTTTTTTTTCCATTGATTTTTAGGGAGAATGGAAGAGAGAGGGAAAGACAGAGAGAGAAACATCAATGTGAGAGAAACACATCAATTGGCTGCCTCCTGCACGAGCCCTGACCAGGGCCCAGGCGGGGAGGAGCATGCAACCAAGGTATGTGCCCTTGACCAGAATCGAACCCGGGACCCTTTGGTCCGCAGGCTGATGCTCTATCCGCTGAGCCAAACTGGCTAGGGCCCCAGGTGCACTTTTAAAAAATGTTTTTAGCCTCCTGCATGCCCCCTACTGGGGATTGAGCCTGCAACCCTGGCATGTGCCCTGACCAGGACTTGAACTGGTGACCTCTTGGTGCATGGGATGATGCTCAACCAACTGAGCACACTTGCCGGGGCTGGAAGTTTTATTTACTAGTATATAGAAGACTCCTAAAAGGGAGGTTTATCATTAGTTGTATCATCAGTCCATGACCCTCCTGCTCACCCCCCACTCTCATCCCACTGATTCATAATTTGTAGCTCCAGCTACTCCTCGTGACTTTCTACCATGCTACTTCGAATACTTGGTATCTAGAACAATAGTTGGCCTCTGACTATCCATGCTTTGCCTCCACCTTCAGCACAGCTCACTCCTGCTAGGTCTCATCAGCCTGTGTCCTGCAGCTACAACATCCAGAGAAAGATGAGAAGGGACAGAGCAAAGGCCAGTATAGCCAGTGACATGCCCAAGCCTCACAAAGAGAGAAGACAGGCTTTGATGTAGGAGAAGGGAGGATAGGAGTTGGCAAGAAAAATTCCCAGGCAAGAGGAGCTTGTCATGGGAGGAGGAATTGACTGCGGGGGGGGGGGGGGGGGG